AAAAAAAAAAAAAAGATTATAGTGGCAATCTATTCATTTGATTATTTTTATATCAGTATGGCCCCATGGATATTTGTTTTACTCTGTGGGTAAAAAAAACAAATTGTTTCAGCTTAGATCAATAGGAACTCCTTCACATTGGCCCCTGTGTTCTTTTTGCAAAACTGCATCTGATTTTGAGCCTTCCCTTACTTTCTGGCACATAATACGTCCTTGGCTCGTTTTTGCATATTCCTTGCTCCAGTTCTAAAAACAACCATTTCTTCAAGGGTAACTGGATCCTGGTTTATTGGAGAATGATGTTTAGAGGTGGACTTTAGGTATGTTCAATTATAGAGTGCCTCCCAGAGGATGGAGCTAGGTAATACACTGAATGTACTAACCCATACATACTTACATATCTATATTTCTGTATTTATCTCTGTGTATATGTTTAAAAACCATGAGTTTATACGGATACTTATGATTTCAGTTCAATACCACAAGGTCCATCTTAGCTTTCTTTCCTTATTTATAACTTCTTTCTCCAATAGTGAAAAACCCAGCTACTATCTATTTACATATTTATTTTATCATGAAATGTGTATGTGGGGGTGTGTGTGTTTTGTTTTTCAGAAAAAGCCCATAGAACAAGTGGCACAAGGTGGCCTCTGACTCCATTCCTGGGGTAGGTAACCACAGCCACTGCATTGATTCTTCACTTTCTGCCTCCTTGTAAACCCCATACCAATATGCCCCAGTCCCTCCATTACAGACCAAATGAAGCTGGAGTTCTCTGTCTCCCAACCCAAGAGCTAGAAGCTCAGGGCCAAAGCAGGGTGCCTGGAACCTAATATAAATTCCTGTTTTCTGAGCATACCAAAAGGAAGCCATTCTGGGTTGAAGATCTTTTAAAACACTAGTACTGTGACTTAGGGTTTTTGAATTGGTTACTGACCATCTCAAATTTATTCTGAGTCACAGCTGATTCTAATGGTGTTTCCACACTCCCTCACTATGTCCTGCTCAGACACTAATCATTTAACCTTTTCGGTATCCCTACCAAATGCTGACAGTAATTAAACCCCTTACCATTGGTATCTGTGAAAATAAGTGTTTTGAAAATCATGCAGTGCTAAGTAAATCAAGGGGCCCTGGAATGTGTCTGTAGAGAGAGCGTTTGGACTCTGCACACTCTGAAATGGACTCTGTCTTGTGACCCACTGGTTATAGGTGCACAAAGAGTGCTCTTCCTTCTGTGACCAACCTATGTTGGGAGGCAGAAATATTCTAAAAATACAGGCAGGGTGAAACTGCTGTGGTGAATGGTGGTTAACAAGACAGGATGTCCTGGGAATCTCTTTAAAAAGGAAGGCTTAAATGCTATGGCTATTGAGTACTTTAAAATATCCATCCATTTATTCAATAGCTATTTGCTACATGTCTTACTAAGGCATGAGGAAATGAGAAACTCCATCTCTGTCCTGGGGAAGTTTAGAGTAAGGAATTCAATGTATCCCCCAAGCAGAGAATACACAGAGCAGAGAATACAGGGATAGCTGCCATTGTTGAAAACCTATTATAAGCCAGGAATAGCTTTTTTTTTTTTAGACAGAGTCTCACTTTGTCATCCTTGGTAGAATGCTGTGGCGTCACACTTCACAGCAACATCCAGCTCTTGGGCTTAGGTGATTCTCTTGCCTCAGCCTCCCAAGTAGCTGGGACTACAGGCACCAGCCATAACGCCAGCTATTTTTTGTTGCAGTTTGGCTGGGGCCGGGTTTGAACCCACCACCCTCAGTATATGGGGCCAGCACCCTACTCACTGAGCCACAGGTGCTGCCCATGTTAGGGGCCTGTTACATAGAGCTCACTTAATATAAGCAATCATCTTGAAGTAGGAATTATTATTTTCTTCTTTTTTTCTTTTATCCTCATGGAGTTTTTTTTCTTTTTTAAGAAGTAGGAATTATCATCTTCAATAATGATGAGGAAATTATCTGGGAGGCAAAGGAATTTGTTCAAAGTCATATATGTAGTAAATGCAAGAGTCAAAATTGAAATCCAGGTTTGCCTGAATGCCAAAGTTCATATTCATTCTCTTATACTAATAAGGTGAGAGTAATCCATTCACTGACCAAATACAGTACAACCTCTGTTAAGTTGACCACTCAAGAAGAAACCAGGCCTATTGTACTGATAGTACATGTACATGTGGTGCATGTCTGGTCTATGTAAATTAGGTCAACTTAAGGAGGTGGTCAATGTAGGAAGGTGATCAACTACAGAGGTTCTATTCCAGGCATTATTCTGGGTGCTAGTGACATAAAAGTGAGAAAACCAAGTCCCTGTCTCATGGGGCTCATGCTCTACTGGAGAAGTACAGTCAGCAGGTGGTGTTACTTGCTTTGAATATTTAGTATGTCAGGTGGTGTTAAATGCTTTGAAGAAAAAGTAGGCAGGATAAGAATGATGGGAGCGAGGGGATTGCTATATTAATTAGAATGGTCAGAGATAAGGTGAACTCTGGGCAGATCCAAATGACTTGGAAGAAACAGAACTGGCACAAGTAAGAGCTTTTCCCCTTTTTGTTTATTTGTTTGTTCAGTCTGGAAAACAGGGGCCAGGATGAGGGTGCGAGTGTTAATGGAAAGCATAAAGACCTCAGCCTTAGTCCAGTTGGCTTGTTGGCAAATCATTTCACCTTTGAGCCTTAGGGCCCCCTCCCCATAGACTAGAATAATAGTTTTTGTTCAGCGTCACACAGCCGCCAGAGGATCAAATTAGATAGCTCAAGTGTGAAAGTCTTCTCAAAATTTAAAGCAAGTCCGGGAGTCAACTCTACAACCGAAACGAAGTCTATGTAGGAAAATAAAAGGTATTCCTATCTGTACAATGGGAAGATAGGATTAAAGATCTAATTCAGCATGGTTCCTTATGTTCCGCACCGGTTACCCTAGACATCTTGAAAAGCCACGTCGGGCTGAAAAGAAAAAATGACTAAAATAAATATGCATACATTTCCTAATAGGCCTCTGTTGAAGGTCTATGTTTAATTTATGGCGGTCAGAAACCGCGTCGCGTGTTCCACGAAAATGGGAAAGAGTCCCCGGGTTTCGAATCTTCAACTCTAATCGCCACGCCCCACCTTGGTATTCTCCTTCTTGCCACGCTCCTCCACCCGAACTCCATTTCCCAAAATGCCGCGGGCTTCTACTAGTTGGCCGGCATTGTGACGAAATCACATAGCCTTCTGGGAATTGTAGTTTATTTCCTCCTCAGCCGAAGAAAAATCTAGGGCTGTGGACTACCACTCCCGTGAGGTAGTGAACAATTCTACTGCGTTCGCGGCGTCTTCGAACGCGCCGCGGCAGCCATGTTGGACGTGGCCAGCACAGGGGCCGGCACCAGGGGGTTATTGAAGCAGCTGTCACGATGCTGGGGTCCCTGGTGTTAAGAAGGAAAGTGCCGGCACCACGGCTCCTCCTCCGGTTACTCAGGTCCCCATCGCTCCGGAGCCATGGAGGTGCTTCTGGCCAGAGTGTGATCGCCGGGGGTCGTGGAGAGCCGCAGTGGCTGAGGGCAGCCGCCGGGGGGCGCCCTGGAACATCGCTAGCCTTGCTCCCCGCACAAGGGGCAGCCGCCGGGGGGCACCAGGGAGGACAAGCCGAGACCCAGTTCCGCGCAGCTGCCACGTGGGAACGCCTTCCTAGTGTTGAAGAAACACTGCCGGGACAGGACAGCTGGAATGGAGTCCCCAACAAGGGCAGACTGGGCATGTGGGTCCTGGCCACAGCGCTGGTGGCTCACTGCTACAGCAAGAATCCATCCAACAAGGGTGATTATCGAGACAGTCTGGATTCGAGGAAGGGAGAGGCGGGATGAGTGCCCCGACTTAGCATCTTCAGAGCGTGGGAGGTGCTTATAGTTTTAGACTCAGAGTGACTCACACATCTGGTTCCAGGGGCAGGGTGTTAACACTGGAGACCTCACTGCCTTGGAGTTGTATTATTTCTTGTCATAGGTCAGCCTCCCCTCTTTAGGCATCACTTTGTACAGTGGACTAAACAGCTAATATTAAACAGCATGATCCCTTTATGGTCTAATATTCTTCCCTGTCTAATCCCTTTGTCGAGAGGTCTCCAGAAAACCAGGGGTGTTTTAAGAGCACCCATTAGATGGTTTAGAGAAGTTGCTCCCCTAAGGTGGCCAGTGCCAGCTTGACTTAGAGAGGCTTCTTTCTGGCCTCAAGTTTTCTTACTTATATAGTGAAGGATGATTTCTCAGTATTTTTATAGTACTGAGTAATTTGATCTGTCTTGTAGTTCAGTGGCATGGGTCTGTCCATCAGTCTGTGCTTGGTTTCACCTGCTGTGAGGTGATCTTACCATTTGGGATCATTGGCAGGAGAAGGAAGTTGGATCCCTGGAGATCCAACCAAGGGGGTAGCTGATCCAGATTGGCATTTTACCTGGCTGCATGGAACTGAGGAGGGGTTAGGAGAGTGGACAGATTACCAGCCAGACATATGACCTGTGTGAGTCCAGCCACTCAGATTCTTAGTTATTCCTCAAAGGGGAGGACTGAGGCACATTGTCCATAGATTTTATGACTCCCAAGCTCCAACTTTGAGGCAATAGTGGGGATTGCCATGATTTTCATGTTATTATTCAGCAGGATGTGCTCAGCTGTAAAGGAAAAGCTTTGGACTGGGAGTGATAGTACTGGGGGTTTTGTTTTGTCTCTGTGTCTATCTCCCATTGTGAGTTTGGAGTCTTGCTCTTTCAGTTACCTCATCTACAGAATGAGGGTGTTGAAGTAGACTCTCAGGGCTCTTCCAGGTTAAGTATGCCATACTTCTATAACTTTCAGCATTTTTTTTATACTTTCTGTGTGTCTAATTTGGGGGTAGATATGTGAGAATTCCTAATTTAACACATAGTCATTGAAGGGAATAGTGTAGGCGATTGGCATGCAGGGCTGATGAGTGGTGCTGGCTTGTGTTCTTGGGGGGTGTCAGATAGCCAGTAGGATTAGGAAGTCCTTGGAGGATGGAGGCCCCTGGAGGATATGGAATTCAAACTTGAGTTCTGAAGGATGAGGGAGATGAAAAGGAAAGTGACATTGTGTGCCACATGAGAGCAAGGACTGCATCTTTTTTTTTTTTCAGAGACAGATGCTTATTTGCTGCCCTCGGTAGAGTGCTGTGGCATCACAGCTTACAGCAACCTCTAGCTCTTGGGCTTAGGCCATTCTCTTGCCTCAGCCTCCCAAGTAGCTGGGACTATAGGCACCCATCACAGCACCAGCTATTTTTTGTTGTTGTTGCAGTTTGGCCAGTGCCAGGTTCGAACCCGCCACCCTCAGTATATGCGGCCAGAGCCCTACTCACTGAATGCCGCCTGCAAGGGCTGCATCTTAACTTTTTTTTCAGGTTGATACCAGCAACTTTTCCTAATACCTACACATCATTTGTCCACCAGTGTCTGTAACTTAGTAGATACTCAGTAAATATGTCTTAAATTGAATTGTATTTCATTCAAAGGCTTCAGAGAACTAAGATAACAAGAGTTGTAGGTCACCATGTTATGTGCAAGGGCGAGCAGAGGGACTAGCTTGGTTGGAAGATGGGATCTTTGGAACAAGTTGAGAGCAGATAAAATGGGGCCTGGGTGCTAGAGATGGGGTTGGAATTTTTTTCTGCAGGCAATGGAAAGCCATGGAAGGATAGGGGAGAGGTGTCTAAGGTTGTGCTTAAGATGTCGCTGGGTGGCTACAGACTGAACTTTATAGTATGCAAATTCTAGTGAGGAGACCAAAGTTTGTTTACTAAAGTAATGACCAAAAACCATGACCAGTTCCAACTTGTCAGCTACCCTGTTCCCTAAGTTTTGAGTCAAGGCCCTTATGCAGCTGAACCCTTTAGGAGCCAAGAGGCCCTGGTTCTAATCTCTGTTCTTCCCTCATTCTGTGCCTTGCAGAAGCCACTTTTTTTCTGTGAGGGTTGAGTGGATTCAGCCATCTCTGAGGAAGGTTTGATCCCCTTCCAGCTGGTGGCTGGCTCAGCATGCTTGGGTGTGTGCCTGGAGAGCTTATGGGCAAGGTAAGCAGGAACGACCTGGCCCTGGATTATAGGCCAGGAGGTGGAGCAGAGGCACAGTGTTTGAACCACAGAATTGGTTTTCATATGCATGTAATATGGATCTCTTATCTTTTTTGTTCAGGTAAGGAAACTGAAGTTTAGGAGATTAGTTGAGCTGGCTAGGTCGTACAACCAGTAGTAGGTTGAGACTAAGCCCAGGTCTGCCTACCTCTGTCCTGGTCTTTCTACCCTACTCTAGTGCATTGTCTCATAGATGAGTCTCTTCCCTGGATTGAGAGCTTCCTGAGGCGGGGATGAGTTTGAGACTGTCTCATGCCTAACAGTGTAGCTCAGAACTAAGCTGGGCACAGAGGATTCTCCTAGCACTTGATATTCGATTATTTGAAAAAATTATGTCTCTGTTGACTTTTGAGTTTTCCAAGTCAACCAGTATCTATCTCTGACCACAAGGTGGTGCCAACAGCCTGCAGACTGCCCAGGCCAGAACAGGATCAGCATTGCTTTTCTGCTAGGCCTGGTGATTCCTAAGGAATCTGAACTCTTGCTTTGGGTCTCCCTTTGCTGGGCTTGGTGATGGAGAGTTTGTAGATTTTTCAACCATCATTTCATCTTTTCGACATCCTTGTGAAGCTGGCAGGCAAAGATTATTGTCTCTGCTTTATAGTCCGGAGGCTATTGTTGAGAGGGACCTGGGCTGTCACATGGTAAGCAGATGGCAGAATGGGTTGAATCCAGGTCTCAGCTCCTGGTTGAGGTTCTCTCCATTGTCAGAGGTGCCCACACCCCACCTGCTCCTCCTCATCCTATCTCAGAACTGGGATGAAGAATTGGAGATGGGAGAGAAAGTGGACAAGGTCAGGGAGCAGTTAATAACAACAGTGATAGTCACATAAAATATACTGTATTACACAGAGCCTTTTAGCATAAGAAGAGCGCACTGAGTGCTTCCCATGGCAAGACACAGTACTGGCACATTACTTGCATCCCCTGTATGATGAGAGGAGCTAAGAGTTTGGTCTCTGTAATAGAAAGGTATGGAAGTCAGGTAACACTGATCACCACGTGGGGAGGAGATGAGAAGCTTTCAGTCGTGGGATGCAACTGTTCGGGAAGTGCTTCCTCTTCCACTATCTACCTGGTCTCTCTAGGCACCCCTGAGGGGAAGGTTCTGGCCAAGGATCTGATCAGTACCCCCTTTCTCTCCAGATGCAGCCCTGTTGGAAGCCGCTCGTGCCAACAATGTGCAAGAAGTCCGCAGGTAAGTGTCGAATCCCAGGCCTTGCTCTCCTCCATAGGAGGGGCCGAGCAAACTGAGCCTTTCCTTATGTGATGACTCAGCCTTGGAAGAAATTCTCACCCTAAGCTGGGAACTATCCCCTGTGACTTCCTTGTAGTCACAGATTCACCTGGCTCTCTTGGTCCAGGTCAACCCTCAGATATTTTAGGAAGGGAGTCAGCCCTCAAACATCCCTGGATCCTTCAGCTGTTTTGTTCTTCATGAGAATGGTTTGGAGGCCCCTCCATATCCTGCAAGTTTTTCTTTGAATCTTTCAACTCATTCTCATTTCTCTGTGAATGTGGTCACATGTTATGATTTGCTGCCTGGACATTTGTAGGTGAATATCCGTGGAGAAGCTTGGAGACTTGGGAGGGAGCTGACAGAGACACTCTGCCAGAGGTCTTCTGGAGCTAGAAAGCCCTGCTTACAGGACTAGGGTGCCCATCATCGGCTCTTGCATAGGGACAGAATGGATCTCTCTAGCCTTACAGGCTCAGCTAGTCCCTTGTGACTCCTGGCAGATTAGATTTAAAGTGTGTTTTGAAGCAGGGGTAGGACTCAACTCAGAGCTCAGGTCAGGATCTTTCCAGGATGGATGTTCAGATTAGGGTAACATAGGGCATCAGTTATGGGATTGTTGGTTAGGGGCAGAGGTTTTATTCTTGGTGAAACTACTAGGCCCCAATGGACCTAACTTTTACCTCTTTTGGCCCTTTGGTTTTTGGGGTTTTTTGCAGTTTTTGGCCGGGGCTGGGTTTTAACTCGCCACCTCTGGCATATGGGGCCAGTGCCCTACCCTTTTGAGCCACAGGTACTGCTCATCTTTTGGCCCTTTGTATAGAGCTAGGTGGCCAGAGGACACCCCCTCTTTTCTGCCATCATGTCTGCATTTAGACAGAAAGTGTTGGGGTGACTGTGCCTGTACCCAGTGCCACAGACCCTTGTGCTTTTCCCCACTCTAGCTGTCTGAACATACAGGAAAGTGTTGAAAGGCAACCACAGCCCCATCAAGACTTACTGCTTTGATTCCTTTTCATTTTATCTGTAGCATTATTATTGATTCTCAAGGGTGCTCTTGAGTATTAATGTTCAAGGCTTAGTTTTTAATAAACCACTTTTGGAAGTATGGGCTGGGAGTTGTTTTGTAGCCAAATAAATATGATGGAGCAATAGTTTAATAAACATGCAATGATGCATCTTAAAAACCAAGCACAGATGTCATCTCATTGTTATAAGAGCCATTCATAACTGCGGGCCGTGTGTGGCATCTTCATTCCCTCGGAAATATATGAGCCCCCCGCTTTGTTCTGCTGCAGTACAAGGGAGTAAGGGGGTGGAAACTGGCTCTTGCTGACCCTGAAGTCACCTGTTGGTTACTGCCAAGGACTGTCAGGTTAACCCAGTGTTGGCAGAGCATTTGCAGAGCAGCATTGGTGCAAATCCACCTATCCATTCTCCAAGGAAGGCTGACTTTACCCTATGCCTGGAGCCCTCAGTGTTGATATTTTAGTTCTTTCAGATACATGTTTTTTAAGAGCAATTAAATACCTGCCTCAAGAATACAGATGATGTATAAACTTGCAGTGTATGTGTGATTTAGAAATTGTTCTGAACGATCATTGCCTGTGTGGATGGTGTCTATGGAGGCCTGTCGCTTACCCCAGATTCTAGCCTACTTTTTTCCTGCCTTGTCTTGTCTTACCTCCCATCAGAATTAGGTGAGGAAGGCGCACACTGTGGCCCCAGAGCCAGGAGCCAGCTGAGTGAAGGGAGGAGGCAGATGCTGGCTGGCTGCTGGGTCTGGAGAACATGTTGGTGCTGCTGCCAAGGTGGGACTTGTGCAGGGTATGGGGAAAGAGGGAAGGTGAGTTGAGAGAGGCTGGAATGTACAAGGTCTGGCATGCCCAGGGTGAGGAGTTTTGAACTCATAGCCATTCTACAAACAGTGGGGAGATGTGGGAGGTTTTTGAGCCGGGGAATTACCTAGTTAGCACTGTGTTGCAGAGAGGTGAAGAATGGATTGCACTGGGAAAAGGCTGAAGGCAGATGTGTTAAGAGGTTGTTTCAGTAAGATAGATTAAAAGTGATGAAGGCCTGAATGAGGACATCCTTTTCTTCCTTTCACCCAGAGCAGTTTTTGCTTCTGAAAGATTGAGTGGGCCTCTTCTGGGCACTACACATGGGGGAGGGGAGGGACCCAGGCTCTGGTCCCAAGGAAACAGATGTGTAACCCATCAACTACAGCTCTTCCTGCTCACAGAGCCAGGTCTTGGGGGAGAGTGGGGTTGTGGAGAGCCTGACCATTCTTGCTCAAAGGAAACTTTCTTGAATTCCTACGGCAGGTCCTTAATCAGCCTTTCTGTGCCCTAGACGCTGCACCTGTGCTTCATGCTGTTTTATTTCTTCCTCTGTGAAATAAATAATTCACAGAGAATTATTCTGAGAAATGTATAATTAGATGATTTTGTCATTGTGTGAGTATTGGAGTATACTTACACAAACCTACATGGTATAGCGTCTTACCCATCTAGGGTATATGGTATAGCATATTGATCCTAGACTACAAACCTGTATAGCAGGTTACTGTATTGAATACTGTAGGCATTTGTAACACAGTGGTAATTATATGTCTAGACATATCTAAATATAAAAAAGGTAATATATTACCCTATGATGTTAATACAGCTATGATATCCCTAGATGATAGGAATTTTTCAGCTTCGTTGTAATTGTACAGGACCACTGTCATCAATGTAGTCTGTCATGGACCAAAACATTATTATGTGGGGCATGACTAGTGTATACCCTGTGTTATGAGTGCTATGGTCAATGATACCAGTATTTAGAACAAAACTCAGACATGCTGAGTAATACTGTCTACTGCCTTTCTGTCCTCCTTGACTTCTCTGGCGCTTTGTGCTGTGCATGTCTCTTCCTTGATCTTTCCCAATTCCTGTCCCCAGAGCTGTGGCCTCCAGAGAGCTCTGGATAGTGAATGACAGCAGCCTGAGGCTGTTCAGCTCAGGGTTGCTTCATCCTCTTGAAGGACACTATGGAGTCTGCAGTCCCTGGGCCCTGGGCTTTTGTACAGACGGGTATAACTGAAGTGAGAAGTGCGGAGTCTTACTTCCACCCTCTGCTTAAATGCTACCAGCCTTCAAGGCTCAACTCAAGTGCTGCCTCCCTTATGAAGCCTTCCTTGGTTTCTCCCAGCCCAGTGTGATCTTTTCTTCCTTTGTCCCCTATGCTTGCTTCTGCTGCATACCTCCCCTGTAGTCTGGGAGGGTATGAGTGTCATCTGGAAAGGGCCACGCCAGCCTATATAGCAAGAGGGGAGTCCTCTTGTAGAAGAAAAGTTGGAGGTCAGGTTGGAGAAGTAGGCTGAAAGTCAAGACAGAGGAGGCAGTAATTCCACAAACAGGAAAATCAGTGAGATTCACACGCTGACCAAATTAGGAACAGAATAGGGATCCTCAGAGAGTATAAGACCATGAAGCCAACAGCTCAGGTTGGTGGCCCTTCTACGTGAGCACTATTGACCTGTGTTACGTGGAGCTGGCTCGTTGCGTGTGGTGTGGGCTGCCTGGCTAAAGGTGCAGGGCAGGATCTGCCACTTGCCACACTGTTCTTTGTTTTAAGACATTTGTGGGCTGGACTTCAGCTTACACCTCTGGACTGTGCCTCCCCAAGGGCAGGGACAAGATCCAGTTCCCCACTGTCTCTGACCTAGTCTCCCAGCTCAGTGGGAACTTTTTAGTGACTTTTTCTTTGTTTGCTCTTTACTGACTTCTCAGTATAACTGAAGTGAGCAGTCCAGCGTCTTACTCCTGTACTCCCCTTGGTTATATAAGATGGAGGCCAGGTCTTTTATCTCTCCTTTCCATCTCCCTGTGTGACAACCATTTCCTCCCTTCTCCCCCAGTGCACTTACCTTGTAAGTTCATCTAGCTGTGGCTCTTTGGGAATGGAAGCTTGGCCCCTAGCCTACCTGTTAGCAGTGTGTACAGGTGGCTCTACTCCTGGGCTCAGTCCAAACCTCCTGTCTGGACTCAGGAACTGTTCATCCGAGACCTAGGGCACAGGGCAGACTGAAGGCACATCTGTCCAGGCTCAGGCTGAGACATGTGAGAAGTTGTCAGGACCGGGAAAAGTGAGGCCTCCTGTTCTCCCAGTGGAGATCATATTTCCTTCAGAACAAACTAAGTGAAAGATAACACCCTTACCCATTTCCCTACTTCCAGAAGAGAGCTGATGCTGAGTACTTAACTCAGTTGTTCATCAGCCTAAACAGTCTCTAATGAAGGAAGCCTGGTAGTATCAATTTTGAACCTCAGACTGCCTCCCCTTTCTCCTCTAGATTCACTTGTTCATTTAGCAAACATTTACTGAGCACCTGCCAGAATACTGGGTCTTCTCCTTGGTACAGGGGACACCTGACCAGGCATGATTTCTGCCCTTGATAACAGAGTTAGATTTAGATGGTGTGATTGGTGCTGTGAGACAGGAGAATACAGGGGCTGCATACAAGATGCCCCAACCAGCCTGGGGAATCAGAGAAAACCTCCTACAGAAAACGGCACCTGATCAGAGTCTTAAAATTTTAGTATTACTTAGCAAATAGAAGGGGATGACATTTTAGGCAAAAGGGATGGCATGAATGGTACTGCCCTCTTGGTACTAGAGTCTAACTGAGAGCCAGATGGCTAATTATGCAATTATTATGATGTGCTTCAAAAGTGAAGTAAAATTAGTCTTTTCAACAAATGGTGCTAGGACAACTGGACATGCAGAAGAATGTGGTTGAACCCTTACCTGACACCGTGCATAAAAATGAACTCAGAGTGGTTCATGGACCTAAATATAGGAGCTAAAACTATAAAACTATTAGAAGACAACATAGGAGCAAATCTTTGCTACCTTGGATTAGGCAAAGACTTCTCAGATATGGCACCAAAAGCACAAGCAACCAAAGAAAAAAA